GTTAACAGATCCACTGGCAACCGACGTTCCCGACCAAACATCAACTTTTCTGGAGTGTATCCAGTGGCTTCATGCTCTGATTTAATATCTATACCTGGTTCCATTTCACCATCATCAACTCCTTCAATCACTTTCACTTCACTTGATGACACCTAATTAGTTCAACCTCTTTTTTAACAGTTACCGGAACTTGGCCTTTGTTGTTCCCAAACGTCATTTTATCAAAATTAATTACAAACTTCCTCGGTAGTAAGTAGTCCAATCCTAATATGCATTCGACTTCAATGTCAGCCAAGTATACTTTCTGTCTGTCCTTTATGTCAATGAGCTCAATAGTTACCCACACTGGTTCCCACAACCTTGCATAATGTCCTGTCACACCATAGAGCTTCTGTACAGCTTCTGGTATGCGTTTGTGATCCAACAATTTGATACTCACAAGCGTTTGCTGAGATGCAGAATCAATGACAAAGTTGCACCTTTGGCCATCCAGCTTCCCTGTCACAAAGACACTATGTGTGCTTGCCATTTTACACTTAGCTGTTGGGACTTTCACAACTGGGGTTGGTAGGCGTCCACCAATACGAACCACTACTGGTTTCCCGAAGCTGACTTATTGGTGGTATTCTTCTTACACTGGCTCCTCATATGTCCTTGCTCTCCACAGTTCCAACAACCTTCCTGGGTAGCAGCCTTTCCTGCTGTGGCATCCACCCTGTGATGAAGTTGCCAGCATTGAGCACTCTTGTGCCCAGGTTTATTACAGTTCCAGCAAAGTCCCTCAAACCTCTCTGAAAGCTGCCCTTTTCTGGCTTTGAATCCTGATGACTGTACCAACCTCGGTACCTCTGTGCTGGACTTATTGTAGGATTCGAATTCAAGAGCTCTGGCCACTGCATCCTGCATAGTAGAGGGGTGTGTTTGCTTCACTTTTATTTTCAGTTGTGGACTGTCCAAGGCGTCTACAAACTGATCTCTCAGCAATAACTTGAGGAGGTCGGGTTTTGCAGTTGGGTAGGTTTTGTGTGCCATACTTTCCTAGTCCTGTGCCAGCTCTTGCAGGCTCTCCCCTTTAGCACGGACTCTCGTCCTAAACCTAGCCCTGTAGACTTCTGACTGATTGTGAGTTCCATACCTGAGTACTAGAACCGCTACCAGTGCTCTATAGTTGTGCCTGTCGTCTGCTGACAACTGTCCAAGTATTTCCAGCGGTTGTCCCTTCAAGCTCGTTGCCAGATATACTGCTTTCTGCTCCTCTGTCCATCCATTCATTTCTGCCAGTAGCTCATTGTGCTCTATATACTTCCCATGGTGCCTTCCCATCGAATTCCACGTGCTCGACTCAACTGTCAATTACACATTGTTGCCGTCACTTCTTGGCGGCTTATATATACAAGACTACCACATATATAGTAGACTTCAGGAACGGACGTGAACGTTCGAGAATACGACGCGTTACTAGCGTCACGTGACCCCGCTGTCGTAACAGTATATTAGCTGTTTCAATAATTGGTCATCATACACGTACATGTATGCACTACTTAAATAACATGTTAGCATGCTCCATTTCTTCTGAGGTGATTTTTCATAAATAAATTAAATACAGTTTCAATGTTGAGCTCCCCCCCCCTCGCGTTAGTGGGTGACCTGTTTTGTTTTTTTTTGTTTCGTCTTTGTACTGCACACAAAGATTTAGGACTACGCTCTTCTCTTAATATTTATCACTGCGATGTATCAATGTTCTTTAATTTGAGCACCGTCTTTCTTACCATGCATGCACGATTGCCTTGCCACACTGATCTTAGGGTCTGTTGTTAACGTACAGTTAAGGTCTTAAACTTCGGTAATTATGATTTGTTGTCAGCCAGAAAAGAAAAAAAAAAGGTGCTTAGCTATGACTGACCCTCAACTACAATTTAATGGTTTCTCAATCCTATTGTACAAAAAACAAAACAAAATGATATTAAGAATATTCTTACTCTTAGGATGATTATTACAACTTATATGCCCAGAGTGACTTTCATTTCATAGTTAAGAAAATTTACATATTAATTTGTCGCAAATGGGAAAAAATCGCCCATGCCCAGAAAAAAGCCGCTAATTGCATAAAACGGTTGCTCAATTTGGAAAAATCGCCCACTCTGGTCTGATTGGCAACACTACTTTTAGTATACAACTTGTTATCTTCTTATTGGCATCCAATAGTTCAGAAGTAAGGTAATGAATTTACAACACTAAAATCCATGGCTTGATTTCCCCCTGTCGACAAAGCACAAGTAGTCCAATTTGTCCTTGCGCTAAAAAACAAACAAATAAAACATAAGCAATAAACAAATCAACAACTTTCTGGCACCTAGCGCTATCTAGTGTGTTAATGTTTTCTCGTTTGAGAACGAGATTGTGGGAAGTTGTAATATTATGGGATGTTCAATCGCCATATTGTTGTTGTAAAGTGTGGATATTGATGAATGACACATGATTTTGTTCACAAAGTAATATACGTGTAAAAATTACAGTTCGAAGCGTCGTCCCATAACGATATATCTGTAAAGTCGTACTTACTATATTCGATCGGAATGACAGTTACGCATTAATGATATAGATTTAATCTGGGCATTAAAAGTGTTATTAAAATTTGTGCTTTTAAAAGTTTTATACTGTAGTCTGTAGTATAAGTTATAAAGTAGCAACAGAACACTAATGTTTCTGTTGTTACAGAAGTAGCCCGTGTTATTCTGTAGACCCTAATAAATAGTTGTATTAGCGATATTATACTTATGCTATCAGTATTAGTGTAACCTAGCTGAACAATATTGATATGACAAAGGTTAGGCCTAGTTCATAATACTAATAGTAATATTCTGATAAAAGCAAAAGTAATACTTATCTTGCGAGGAGTCTGTATCATGTATGATACAAACATCATGTAACTGTAACTTGCGGCAAATGTAACAAGAGACACAGTGAAACATTGGCAAGTCGTTGGACATAAATTAGTGAAACTATTAATAAATGTAATTTAATATAGTGTGTTATCATTACTTATATTATTAATTACTTAGTGTTCAAGTGTTAGCGCAACCGAGTTAAAATTATTTAGTTAAGGTGTGAAGGAAGACTTCAAAAGCTTAGGCCTAATGTAGACAGAACTTTCAGAAGCTGTTTATGTTTGAAGTGTAAGTATTTGATACATTATTATTATAAAATACGTATTTATAAATTTTAATTTGTGTGTGTGAGAGAGAGAGAGAGAGAGAAATTACAATAATTTGATAGTTAACTGAACCTTTGAGAATTTTTTTTTATCCTTGTTTAAAACTAAAAGGCTAAATTTTCTTTCAGGCATAATTTTGCCCATCTTTTAGGAGATAAGCCTAAGGTAACACTGTAAAGAAAAATTGCCATTGGTAACTAAACTATATGTCTGTGATTTGTTGTATTCCCTTGTATATTTTCAAATTGTTTAAAAAGTGCCAAAAGCAAGTATTTTGTTTTGCCATGCAGTTTAAGTTTCTTACACTTAAGAGAAAATGTTGGTGTTTTAACTTTCAGTTCTAATAAAGTTTTAAGTTTTCTTTAGAAATTAAATATTTTATGTTCAGTCATAGATTGTATCTGAAATTTTTGGAGCATTTAAGTATTACTGACTCTTATTTATATTTTATAGTAACAATTTTTGAAATATGGAATGAACTAGTTAAAGCTTTTTGATTTAAACTCAGAAGTTATGTTGTACTTGTACCAGAATCTTTCATTTTGCAGGAAATTGGAAAGGGTACAGGGTAAAAAAAAAATATAACTTTGAGGAAAGATTTAGCAGTTGTACCTGTTTTTCTAAAACTATGCAGTTGCAACTCTTAAGGAGTGATTGTTTTTATTTACTATGATATTTTTTATAGGAAGGAAAATATTGACTATTAATAATAGGCTTGCTTTTTTGATTGAAATAACTTTTATTATAACATGTGTTGCAGATACTTGCAGTGGTCAAATATGGTAAAAATAAAATTATAATGGAAAGAAACTTAAGTGACATTTTTGTAAGCAAAATGAATGATTGATGTGTAGTTGTACAGAGTAAGAAAAATAAGAAGCAATTGAGATTTTTAGACTGTGACTTGTGATACATTTTAAAAGCTGACTGAACAAAATAGCAGTTGACTGTGAATTTGTGATTATCCTACAACCCACAACTTAACTTCAGCAATATTGTCAACTGCAACTCCTCTGAAAGTTTTGTCATACATCCACTTTAACCAGGTTGACATTTTAGTATAACACTAGTTCTGATATAAAGGTCACTGAAGGATCTTACTTTCAGATGAAGTTATTTATGTAAAATTGGAATACACACACTACAAACCAGCCATCAGATCCCATATGATAAGATGTAAAATGTAGCTCTTTAACTTTCAGGTAGTCTAGGTAACAGCTCAAAATTAGTGACAGTGGCTGATAGCTGTAGTAACTTAGCCATAACAAAGAATGCAAGCAAGTTTGTTGGAAATGAACCCCAAGAATGAAAAAATAATAACACTTGAGTTACACTTTCAGAGTTTCACTTCTGGCATTGAGAAAAAAAGTCTTTGCAAATGAAAGCATAAAAGTGATTTAAATATAATTAAAGTTATAGTTTTTTTTGTTTTTCTTCTTTTTCTCTCTGAGTTGGACCAGTTAAGAAAAGTGTTGGAATTATTTTCATTGCAAAATTTATATTTCATCATGCTTACAACCATGTACTTTGTGATATATCCTTTAAGCAGTTTGAATGTCTGTGGTTTATAACATAAGAAATTCTTAAAGCTTTCTTGAAGTAAAATAAAATGTATACTGCAGGTTTTGGTAAACTGTATAGAATATCAGCATCTTGTCAATTTCTCCCTCTAGCACTGCTCATGATTACTTGTTTTACCAAAATTGATCTCAGTATGAGTTGTCTTCTGTCAATCTAACTATATATGCTACTGTTTTGTATTTATATTTCTGTGACTGCTTATTGACTTGTTTTGTACAGTGTGTCACAAATATGTTAGCTTTCGTTTTGCCTGTAAGTTCTACAACTGTGACCCTATACACAAGTCTTTCTCCTCTTAGATAGCACTCTTTTTTTTTTTTTGGCATTAATGTCCCTTTGGGAACTAATTTCAACAGGTTTTCAGGGTTCTCTGCTTTATTTCTGTCTTCATTGTTCTATTATAATAGATTATTATTAATTCACTGATAGGAGTTTCCTGGATGGCTTGAATGTTACTATTTAGAAATTCAAAAGTTTTTGATAGAATGCTGTCCTTACACTAGATTCTGGGCCTTTAGTGATCTTCTTCATTTTTATTTTGTTTCATTGATTTGGTTTAAAAATTTGAAGTTATCCCATTACCATAAACTAGTGCTCTGTGCAACAATTTTTTTGTAGTTCTTTGTTTTTGCTCTTTGGCTGATACTCCTGAACAATTTGAAGGGTCTCTTGAGTTCTCTTCATGCTCTGGCTTGTTCTGTTGATGACAGCTTTGTAACATGACCAGTGTTTAACCTAGCATATTCCATTGTTTAAAATTACTTCTGTTGGTGCCTTGCATTTTTTTATTGTAGGTTCTAAGACCTAGAAATCATATTAGATGTTGTAGTTTCATTATTGTGCTTCTCTGTCACAAGATCCTTGAGGTACCACTAAAAGTACAATATCAAACAAGGTATCCTTAAGATAAAATTTAAAATCATCTTGCCTTTTTGAACAATTTATTATATTTTAAACTTACAATCTTTGTACAGAATTGTATGATTCTAAAGAAACTTGTATAAAAAGTTTTGTATGTAATTTTATGGAATGAATTTATTATGATTAAATGAAGTGGAATGTGCATTTATAGTCATGATTAATCTTGTATTATGTTGTAACCAAATACACTTAAAATCCATAAAGCTCAACTCTTCTAGATTATTTAATTTTGTAATAGCAATCTCATCCTGGCAGTGTTTGAGGATAAAACCAATCATGAATGTAGTGATTGTTGTCCATGAATTTGCATATGGATAAACAGCTGTACCATTTATTTCGTGAGAAGTACCAACACCTACAAGGTTTCCTCAAGCTTGTCATTGTTGTCCCAGACAAAGTTTGTGTCTATATAAAGTAGGATTTTGGCTGTCAGTGCAACACTGATTTTTTTGAGCATAGCATGCCTTTGTAGACAGAATGTAGTGTCAGTCTCAGATAGTTGTAAGAGCTGCAATGACCAAAATGGTTGAGGACCTGGATAACTTCACTATTGCTAGTTAGAGACGTAACTGCAGAAAGTAACAAGGGATGATTTGATGGTTTCTCTTTACCTTTTATAGCTCTATAAGTAAGATCTTGTCCATTTGAGGGAATCAACATGTGTTGTCTTTGGTTGAATGTAGTCTGAACCGCAGTCTCTACTAATAGTACCTGTAGAGAAAATGTCTTAGTGGAGGTGGAAGAGACATGATATTTGGCTATAGAGGAAGGGTGAGAAAGAAAATTGGTAAGATGATTCTCTTGATAATTTTTGATACCAAAAACCAGATGAAGTACTGCTCTACTGAGTTGTTGATTTGCTGAAAATATTTGACTTCACTATTTTGAGCTCATTTTGGACAGTTTGATTTTTCTTCATTAATTGCTGAATGTCTGCAGAGAACAGAAACAGTTTGTAAAATTTTTGAACAAAATGAAGTGATTTTTCAAAATTATACTTCTGTTTTGTGTCATGTTGTTAAACTTTTCTGTTTCAGGTTTCTTCAGTCATGATAATGACAGTGCTTTCAAGTTTGTGGCTTTTTTCACATGTGGGTTATTAAATAGGTAATTTCTGATCAGATCAAACAATTTGTTGTATGATTCTGCTTCTGTTTCAAGGTATTTAGAATCAGGAGTCATTACTATCAAAATATTTAGGGTCAGTATAATTTGCAATTAGTAGATGATCTGATTACAGTAGATGACTTCTCTTGCTTAGTAGATGTGATCTCTGGTAATGACCTTCAGCTCCTTACTAGTAAGTGTCATCTTGCTTGTGTGTGGCTATTTTTGTAACTATTTTTTAGATTTTAGCTCTTCACATTTGACTGATGTGTCTCTTGTATTTCTACATTTATTCTATTTGTTTTCATTACAGCACATCATGAAATGAAACTATACATCCATATAACAGACTATGAACATGGTGTAATTAAATTCTTATTCTCATTAATGAAACTACATATACTTTCCTTTACCCAAATTAATGATTAATTCAACCTTCATTTCATCTGAATTCTATAATTTCTTGTAATAGTCCTTTGTTGTCATACCTTTTACCATGTCTAATAAAGAAATACAATACAGGTTTTGTGCACAGTTTGAGTAAAGCTATAAAATAGTCTTGGGTCACTCACCATTGTCACTTATATAAATTGCACTACATACAGCTGGGTTTCCTCATTTTTTGTTTTAAATTACATTGAGACACATCACCTAAATTTTCTGTAATGATGAGAGAATTATGCTGATGTAGTGTTGGAAATTTTGGATTATATGTAGCTGAATGGTTATTACAAGGGACAACAAATTTTTATATAAAAGCTATTAAGAAGGGTTAAACATGTATAAAAAAAAACACACTGATATGTTTATAAATTGTTAAAAAAAAGTATTGAGCATTTTGGAAGAATACCTTTGTTGTACATAATTGTATCTTCGTAACTTCTTTTAGCTGTGAGATTGAGCTTGCTGTCATATAAAAATTAACTCCTCATCTGTCTACCATCACAGTGATGCTAAACAACCTTTGCCACTCCAGGTGATACTCTTGAGTCATGACCTTTATTGTATCATCGATTCATTTATTGACATAGATGCATGTAAAAGAACTGGGGTATATTTAAAAATGGCAATCTTCCTGTTAAATATTTATGTAAATGTTAGCTTAAGAATACTTAAATTGTATTATACCATTATTTATTACAGATTGTGCCTGCTTTAAACCAGTGTATCAAGCTTTTTTTTTTTTCTGATGTACCAGAACATGTAAGAAGTCATGTGCTAGTGGAAGTGGTAATTCACATTTTCTATTATTTTACAAATTTTTTAAAAATTGTAATTTCTGGTAGGATCTAATGGTTTTTAGAAGGCTTGAAAAGAGTAATTTGTAAAAAGTTTTTGAATTAGGTCTTGATTACATGTATTTGCCTTTAAATGATATGGAAGTAGCCATATGACAACTAGCAAATGATAGTCTGTTGGCCTTGCAAAAAATTTAACTCACTGTAATAATTGGATTTATATGTAATATGAAACACGTGCAAAGAACTAAGCAAAAAAGTAATTGGTCAGATATACTTTTTCTCTAACAGTTCTTTTCTCTAGACTCTGATATTATTGTAACACATCCTTACTTCAGAAAAAAGGTTATACCTGACTGAAAGAGCTTAAATTTTAAAGGATCAAGTTATGATTATAAGGCACCGCTAGTATATAATGTGTTTATAACATTGTACAGCTTCTACAAAATTGCATTTCTCAACTACATTTAATTCTCTTCATGGTATGTGGGCCTTTTGAACGTTCTTATGAACAGAATGAAAGAAGTTTGATATGTTTGGTAAAGTGTGTCCTTAGTTTCTGGTTAAGTACAGAAATTTGTCAGCAAAAGTAAGAACAGTGGTAAATTTTTTCTGATACAAACTGTACAAACATTTTTTACTTAAATAAAAATTGAGTATGATTTAATGTTTATCAAGGAAATAAGTGAAGTAAAATATTTTTATTTCAGTTTTAAATATTTGTTTCTATTAAACTTGTTTTCTTGTTGAAATTGATACATATGATAGAATTATAAATGTACAGTTCAGCAGTGTTTAACATGTTCTAATCCTAAGAATTTATAGTTCTGATTTTCTTTTCCATGGAAAAAAAAGCAAAGATATCTCCAGCTGTATAAACTGTCATAAGTTGGTTTAATTCTCATAGCAATAAATATAAAAGTGAGCAAAATGTGTTACTTGATGTGTGCATTATATGACAAATGTAATTCTATTGTTAGTTTTATAGGTATTGAGATATAAAAAATTTCTGAACAAAAACACATAAATTGGTAATTTCATTTTTAATAACATGAGGGTGTAATTCTAATATTGTAGATAAAGGGGTACAAGTGAAATTGAATCGGGTTTGGATATAGTAGTCTTTACTGGTTATTATTTTAGACTAAAATGCATATTGCTAAATAGAAACAAGCTTCAGATAGCTTTTGGTGGCAACTTTGAGCAAGAGAAAGTCTGCTAGACTATGTCTCATATAAAACTTTGTATGAAATTTAGGATTCCATTTCTTGCTTTGAAAACTAGAATGGAACTATCAGAATGTTTTGTTGTTGTTGGTGAAAACTCTTCCAAAGTAAGGTTACTTTTGCTCATTCAATTTTGATCTTGATTTGCACTGTAAGAATAGCATTCAATACTTTCATGGCATCTGTGCATTCAATAGAAACTGTTTCTTATAAATTTTATAGATTGATGTCTGATCAGTTGTATCTAATCTGTCAATCACTGAGAGATTGAAGACAATGAAAGGATTACAAGGATAAGAATAAATTGCTGTTTTCTTGGCCTCTTTTTGATTGGATATTAATGTTTTTGAATGACCTTACTTTTTGATCAATTATTCTTAACTTCAACAGGAACCAAATCATGACTGCATCTACAATGTTTTCAGTTCATGCAAACATCACACTTTGCACTTGAAACTGACACTATGGATAAACATAACATTCAGACATTCTCCCAATGTGTATGACTATTTAAGCACTGAAAACAGACTTTATATAGGTAAATTACTTTATAAAATGAAATTGACATATAAATGGGGGAAGAAATTATTTTTAAATGAAGATTTCTTTGCAAGAGGTGAATTTATGAACACAGAACTTGTATTTTCAAAAACTCTAATGTTAAATTATCATTGAAAGGCAATTTTAGTGCTTTTTATCATTTGCCAGATATTTTGGTGACAAAAACAGCAAATAATTTCTAAACAATTAATTCCTGATTTTAAGGTTGCAAACATTCAATAAATCTAAACATACCTTCTGTAGATATACTATTTATTTTGCATTTATATTTTTACACATCTGACCTTTTTTTTGACTGTGTAATGATTTACACGATTAAAACTAAAGAAATTGCTGATTTAATTTTCACTTCATTTAATCGGTGCTACTATAGTGTGCGGTCTACAAAGATGCTATCATCATCACCATTTTAATGATTCACTAAAACATGATTTCTTGCTAAATAATTTATCTATCCGTGTTTTTCTTCAGCAAATAATAATAATTTAATAAGTGGTACGTTTCAAAAGAGTACGTTAGATTTAGGTTATAATTGAGTTAGTTTTGATTGTTGGAAATTATTTCATTCTGATTATATTTGCCCCCAAAACATTATGTAATGGTATTTTGTACTTTATTAGTTTAAAAGCTTTATTTATAACAAATGGTGCCGATTCCAAATAAAAGAAATTTAAACGGTGATGTTGATAGAATCTGGGTAGACCACATGCTTTAGTAGCACCACTTAATTCTTGTATTATCATATATCATACTACAACTTGAGTGGTTACAAATGTTTATCAAGTGTGTTTTTACATTTAACCTGGGGATGTGAACACACCACCTATTTTATGAGTTAACTATTTTTGTTTATGACATTTACACTTATTTTACAAACCATATTCAATATTTTACTTGCCTTTGATTTCATTAACTCTCTTGTTGCATAGATACATATGCTTTTTAGAGCACTGTCTAAAGTTTATTACTATCAAGTTTCAGATAAATGATGAAGTACTAAAACATCTTTTTCCTTTTTTATTGTGTACCTGAAAATAAACCTGATATTGGGAGAGTTGTTTATCTATAAACATAGTAGTGAAAGTTTTAAATAAATTTGATATTTTCATTTGAAAATTCACTAAACTGAAATTTAAAAACAGTTTCCAATGTGCTCTATTTGGATGTTATTACCATTATTTCAAAATCTGTTTAACTTTACGTTATCATATAGGACAACAGGCAAAAGTAACAGGAAAGTGTATGATGTATCTTCTAATTAAACATTCCCTGTATAGTTTACATAGCATTATGAAAATTTGAATTTTCTCTGTAATTTTATTTTTAAACTAAGTTTTTCTGATTTGTCACCTTAATTTCATTTATTGCCTTGCATGCAATCTATTTTTATTTTCACTTATTTTTTTCTGTCTTATTTGTCCTAAAACATACAATAAACAGTTGAAATATGTTTCCACCTATAAAAAGTACTGCCTATTAAATTTTGATTCAGAATTATGTTGAGTGTGATTTTCTTAATATATTTTTTAAATCATGTGCATCTGTGGTGTTGTTTCTTAAATAGAAACCAGTTAATTTGATGATTGTGATATATATTCAGAAACCCAATTATAATACAGAAACATCCATAAACAGTAAATGTTTTGTCTGTGTTCAGTGATGAATGTTAAACGATGGAATATAATATATTGCTCTATCAATATGTTGAAATCTGAATACTCCTATAAATGTACAATTGTGTATATAGATAACTGATATTATTTGCATTTTCAAAAATATACCTTGGGCATCGACTTTAAAATGTATAAAGTAAGCTTCTGTTGTGATTGCACTATTGGGGAACAAAGCCATTATATGATATTTCATATTTTGCTTTTGTCATGAAGGTGTAATTTCCACTAGTGTAGAATCAGATGTAGCCTATTGTTTTGCAGAATTTAGAGTATATGGTTTACAATCATAACTTTAAGTATGCTTTTGTTACAGTTCAACATCTAAGATTACATTTATACACAATATTGTTAAATAATTCTTTTATGCTTAAAAAACCTGTTACAAATAAAGGTTATTAAAAGTAACTGTTTTTTGTGCAGTACAACTTGGTTAATGTTGAAATGAACTAAAAGTAAAAAACAGGTGGTTTAAACATGTTAGGTTGATGTGATGCATGTCTAAAATGTTAGTATTCTTTATATAGCAGTACTTGCTGTACATTATTAATGCTTCTATAACTTCAAGATGTGAATGTTTGGTTATTGCTTTTTTTTATACTACTGATTATGTGTAGATAATTTTCAAGAACCCTTATCTTGCTAGTTTTGAAAAGTGACTAAACCTGTACATGTAAATAGTATTTTTTTGTAAGATTATTATATATATATTAGTTGAAGTTTTTACTCTTTGTGGGTTTTTTTTTCTTTGTAGGGAACATTTTATTGAGTGATCAGGTCCTCTAGTCCACAAGTTCTAAGTTTCAGTTTTGCTGAAGATTGCTTACAATTTCATGATGAGAAGATAGCAAGAAAGAAGAATTTTTCCAGTTTCAGTTTTAACTCTGAAGAAATCATTCCTTCTGCATTCCTTGACAGTACCTTAAAAAGTTTACTAAATTCCTGATGTAGGACTCGGCACTCTTCTTTTTGTTTGATCATCATAGCTTATTCTTTTGCAAGCTTGCTGTTCAGTAGATTCAGATCTTGAAGGATAGTGTTGAGGAGTACGAGAGTCAGTTTTTGTCCAAAAAGGTTTACTACTGTAATCTCAGGAGGTAAGGCTATTGAACTTATAAATGCTCTTTCATATTAATCATTTACCTCTTCTCTCTCCATGTTATATATGAATAAATTTGGCATAAAAATGTAGCTAATAATCCAAATTTTAATATTATAGTTCTTAATTTTATTAGACAATGTTAAAAAATTGTTTAAATTCCCCTTAATGTGAGAATTGTGACATTTATTCTCTAGGAATCTCCTTTTCTCTTAACTTATTTACCACCCCTCCAAGAAGTATGAAATTTAATGTAAATTACTTATAATGCTGTCATCGCTCATGGAAATCATAATTGTTATAGCTTTTAATCTTATTTGGTGACAGAGCCATCAAATAGAAAATAAGATCCCACTTTCTATGTCTACCTTCACATCCTCTCTTTCACAAATTGCCCAAAGTTCTCTCTGACATTTAATACTATATTATTTATAACCAATAGAAAGGCAAGGTTTTAATCTATCAAATGAAGGTTTTTAGAGAGTACCCAAATGAAATTTGAAAATTTGCAGGTGAATAAAAGTATTTTTAATTTTAATATCAAAATCACCTTGCTTTTGGACTAGTAACTAAAACTATGGTCACAGACAAATCTTTATTAAAAATGCTTAATTAAAAAATTTAATTTTTTGTGTAGAAAAGTGTGGTAATATTTACTGAAAGTCTGCAAATTAGATGGTACTTGGCATTTGAGAAATTAATTTTCACATAATCTTTTAAGGTTTTAAACTTGTGTGTCAAAACATGTAGTATTTAGCAAAATAGTCTAACCTTTTATGCTCAGTTTTAAAAAAACATGAGTTGAGTTCTGGCAAAGCCAGAATTTGTATCTGATTTATATCTGAATGTGCTTTATAATTGTATATACTTGAGGTTTTTTCCACCATGATTTTTTGATGTAATTGATATTTTCTAACAGTGGACTTAAATGTTTTATTCTATGAAAAATATAGCTGTATATAAATTACAGTGCCTACCATGGTCATCCTGGGGCAGGTCAACTGATGGCAAGTAACAACGCCCCTACTCATGACTTTGCGCCAGCGTGGCTGAAGATACCATCATATGAAACTACTGTAAGTTTACAATCTTTTTTGCTATTTTTAATTTTTCCTAACTTTTAGGTAAAAAATTTGCAAAATGAATATATTGAATCTATGCTTTATATTTATTCCTACTGTGTAAATTGTGTTGAATATTTTTTTGTTTGGATCAATAAATATGGAGAATTGGTTTAAAAATTGAAATACTTCTTTCATTCATTCATATAGAGACCCCTTGGCAGTGATAACGAACGTGAAGGACACATCAGTAGACGAGAAGAACACCGAGCATTGTACGGAAGACATCTTAGGGGTGGTGATCATTTTAGACATAACACTGGCAGAGAAAGAGAAGGTTTGACATAACTTTCTGATGTAGATTCACATATTAGAACTGATTAGACTAAGTATGAATAGCTGCCATAGGACCTAAAATGAAAAGGATCTTTCACTAAAACTTGACATTGTTTGTATTTTAGGTCATAATATTATAAACCTTCCTATTTGGACTCTGTCACACCTCTGTTTCTATGTGTTTGTAGAAAATTCTATGAAATAGCTGTATTCACAGATATTTAAGGAGTTTCTTCATTCTACAATGACATTGACCTTGCTGGAATCAGTTTGAATAAATAAATACTTAGAGAAAGATATTTTTTGTAACTGTGCTTTGCTATTTTTGAATGTTTTTTTATCATAGCTTAGTTCATGTGTATAGTATAAATATATTAATTTTTATCAGGTTGCATATTGTGTAATATTAATATTCATTATTTAAAGTAAACATTGCTTAGTACTGTCTGGTGGTTAGGACACACAACTCTCAATCTACAGGTCACAGGTTCGAATCCTTTATGGTACATGCTCACCCTTCCAGCCATGAGGTTGTTATGTGTCTTTCAATCCCACTATTTGATTAGAGAAGCCCAATAGTTGGTGGTGGGTGATGTTGACTAGTTATCTTCCTTCTAGTCTATCAGTTTGTTCTCCTGAAGAATAGTCAACTATTCGAAAGTGCTTGAGTTTTGGGTCTTATTTTAAGTCTATTACACTTCTAAAGTGTGAATAGCCATCAAGTGGCTTTGCACAACATTCAACAAACAAAGAGAGTAAAATCATTTTAGGTTAAGTGCTACTGCATTGAAAAAATTAATTATGTATATAAACAATTTAGAACATTTTCCTTTAACCTAACATCATGCCAAAGATGATCAGCTTGTGTAATATTTATTCAGTATTTCAGGAAATTATTATATAGATGAAACAAAACTGTTTTATTTTTAAATTATCTTGGTTGTATTAAATCATAATGTCACTGTTATTTGACAGAATTGATAAATGAATACATATATCCTTAGCCCATTGCTTTCAGTTTTCTGAAAGTGAATTATTTTTGTAATTTATACAATCAAACAATTATAATCAATTTTAGTGATTGTATACAATTAGTCCTATTTTTGAGTATTTCAAAAGAAAAATGGGATTTTTAAGTTGAGAGATAAATGTAACAATGAAAATGCTATGTCAGTTAATACGCTAACTAGGGAAGACGTTTTACACTTAAATATGTGTTTAAGTTCATCAACGTGTGACATGCTAAAATTATAATAAACTTTTGTCCTATATTAGTAAAGAAAAAGGTAGAGAACAACTAGTTTAAAAGTATTCATGTATATGTGTGTAATTATTGTGCTTATAGCGAAATTGCATTATAACTTTGAAAATAATAGTTAAGGTAGTCTGAAACACTTGCCAACATATGTGGCTTTAACAGAAAAAGTATTTGATGTTGAAATGTGTTTTATTTTTGAACATCACTGGATTTTTTATTTCCTTTTATAAATTTCATGCATGCTGACTGAAAATTCTTAAAAAAATTTATTTTGAATAAATGTACTACTTTATATTATTTTGATGTAATTAAGTACAAAGTCTATATTTGTAATTTCAGAAAAAAATTGTTTAATGTAAACTTTAATGTAAGTCAACTGTAACAACTGGGAAAACTATAAACAAACACACACGCACACACATACATATGCACACCTTTATAGGATAAGTAAAACAGAATGTAAGTTAAAGTGTTAGTTTTTTTATAATATATTTATTTTTGAAAAAAAAATTCACCTCTGTTCCTTTAGGCAAAAGAAAGTCATATTATCCTCCTCATCATCATCCGGTAGACAGTGATGATGATTCTCAGAACTTTTATAACACACGACAGTTTGGCGCTGGCAGCTCTGTAGCACAACCTGCTCATTCTCAATCATCAGTTTTTCGCCGTCCTCACAGTAGGCATGATTTCAGAGATCCTTCATACCATTCCAAGGTTAGTTCCAAACATGAGTACACATATCGTTCAGCAAAAATAATTGTATCTGAAAAATAATACAGGTTTTAATGAACTTAGAAGATCTAAGATTAACTTGGGATTCTCCAGATATGAATGATTTTATAATTCAAGAAAAATGTATTGTCAAACTTAACTTACTATTAAGGTAAAAAGAGTATACCAATTCTAGATGAAGAATCAACATTTACTTCAGTAAGCAAATTTATTCATGGAAGTTGGATTTTTTTCAGTGAGATTGAAAAACACTGGCAAAGTTACATATATTTAATAGCTGGTAGCAAGATTTTTACCATGACTTATGCTTTTAGGCTTGCTGTGTGTGTGTTACATAAGTTTCCTCTGATTTCTGCTTTTTCTTTCCACCTTCCTGATAAATATGTTGACATAATTACCTGACACAATATGTATCTACACACACACATGTCTAAAATAACCTGTTTTTTATTCTCATTTTTTTTTTTTTTAAAGAAAAGTGTTACAACCCTCTTGAGTCACCTAAATAAATGGTTAACTTTTCCAGTTTTTGGATTATATTTTTAACTAGATATTTCATAAATTTCATTATATAAATGTGAATTAAGATGACTTTCTGTCTGTAAATGTATAAAAAAAATAGTTTTGGAAGTTATCAGTGAAACAGTCCATTCACAAATTTTTTTCTGTTGACAATGATGCCATAATATTTGAACATTCACATCTGGGTGCTTTCTTTGTGAAATGGTAATCTTGAACAACTTATTGTTACACTCAACCAAAAATTTCAAAAAAGTTTTTCAATAGTTTTTAACTAGACTCAAACAAAAAGCATTAAAAATTAATTGCATTAAAATCACACAAGTCTATGAATATCTAAGTACAAATTTATCACTTATACAGTGGTTTGCATGTGTGATTCTACATTTAATGATATTCGTGTGTTTTATTTCACCGATGTAATAATTCATGAGTCTTTCTACCATATTTCATTGAAGCTAGTTCAGCCATTTTTTTACAACAAATTTTAACACCAGACGCACAACTCTGCTTTTATATATATATATATATATATATATATATATATATATATGTGTGTGTGTGTGTGTGTGTGTGTGTGTGTGTGTGTGTGTGTGTGTGTAGAGAGAGTAGTAGTA